GAGAGAGAGAGAGAGAGAGAGACATCAGTTTGCTGTTCCCCTTATTGATGCCTCCACTGGTTGCTTCGTGCGTGCGCCCTGATGGGCTGGAACCTGCAACCTTGGCCTATCAGGACGACACTCTAACCCGCTGAGCTGCCAGCCAGGGCCCAAGGGAGGCTTGTCACTCGTCACTGATAAAACCACCCCTGAAATTTCAGCTCCGCAAATTTCCATTTCCTCCTTCCTTCCTGGCCTCCCCTCCCACTCACCCCCTTCCAGCCACACCGGTCCTCCTGGGCCCCAGCCCACCAGGTGCTCCGGCCGCAGCGCATGTGCACATGCTGAGCTCCTGCTGCTGGGCCGTGCCACACCCCTGGCTCCCGCCCTCCCCGGCGCTCCCCTTGCACACCCCATCACTCCTGAAACAGCACCTGTCACTCCGACAGCTTACGCTTATTATTTACCCCCTGGAAATAGTGCTCAGAAACGTGAGGGCTCTTTTGTTCTGTCCGCTGCTCTATTCCTCAGCGCCTGGGATGGGGATGGGGATAGCAGGTGCTTGGTAAACGCTGCCCATGCCAGACAGCACTTCCTTCAGCCACAGGAGCCCGGACTCGCCCATTTCACAGAGGCAGGAACTGAGGTTCAGAGGTGTGGGGCCTGCCTGCAGCCAGCCCAGCCGCTCCCCCCCGCCTGTGTGCTCCCCATCTCATTTCCCACCTGGAAAATAGTACAGCTGGTTTGCCGCCTGCCCCTCCCTGCCCCCCAATTTGAGCCAGTTAGAGACACGCTCACTGGGTTTCAGAGCCCTCTCACCCTGAGCCCGGCAGTGTCCACCTGGCACGGGACAGCAACTGTAGATGCCACCCAGTCCCCAGGTCTGACCCACAGATGCCTCTGTGGTTTCCTCGAAGCCCTTCAGAAATGCAGGGCCCTCCGCGGTGTGAGCCTGAGCCCAGCCCTGTGTGCTTGCCCGCCGTGCCGCCGGGCCTTCCCACAGCTCATCCCCAGGCCCTGTCCCCACGGCCTCGCCACCCACCCAGAGCCAGGCCCAGGACCCCTGGAGGCCGGCCAGGCCCTATGCCGGTGCCAGCTTCCTGCTCCTGCCTCGGCAGCCGCCCCCATCCTGCCCCCTCCACCCCACCTTCCTCTCTGTGGGTCGTGGAAAGTGGATGGGGTGGACGCAGGGGTGGCATGGCCTGCACTTGACGGGAAGGAGCAGAGTCCCCCTCTTTGAGTCGAGGGCCCTGCCCCTCACCCCTCCTAGCCTGAGCCGAGGGCCTGGCCTGCCCTGACCCACTGTGGTGCCGGCCTGGACCCAGGAGCCCAGGCGGGCCCCTCCCAGGGCAACCGGAAAGGGGATGAAGCTCCGTCCTGCTGTGCTCTGGGCCCCAGGGCTCCCCACGCCCTGCACAGCTGGCCCCAGGTGGGGGCGATCAGGAAGGGGAAGGAGAGGTGTCCTCTGGGGTCCCTGCAGGGGAGAGCAGGGATGTAGGTGCAACCAGCCTTCCCAGCAGCCAGCTCTCTGGGGAAAGCATTAGAGCACAGGTGAGTCGTACGGCCACAGGCTGCTTCCCGCGGACTCGGGGCAGCCCAGACGCCCGGCCTCCGGCCTCTAGCCCGCGGCTGAGTCAGGCAGGCAGGGCCTGGCCAGGAGGCCCGGGAGAAAGCCCCAGCCCCATGGGCCACCTGCGCTCTCATGGTCTGGGGCCAGGAGGGGGGACCCCCCTCATCGGCTGCGCTGGTCAGGGACAGGCCAGTCACTGCAGTCTCCCTATACCACCCCAAGCAGGTGCCACCACCCAACAAGCAGCTGTTACCAGTCACGTGATTGAGAGAGGCCTCCATGTTCTGATATTGAACTTCAGCTCTGCAATAGGGTCAGGCTAGACGTGGGGTGGGGGTGGGGTGCCCATGGAGCAGGCCAGACCAGTCATGAGAAGAGCTGCGGGCATTGTGAGTGCTCTCCTTCTCTCTCTCTCTCTCTCTCTCTCTACATAAGAAGAGCTGGGGACAATGTGAGTGCTCTCTCTCTCTCTCTCTCTCTCCTCGGAGCCTTGGACCACGGAAGGGAAGGGACCCTGGTCCTACCGGGAGCCACCAGCACCTCCAGACAACAGCACCTCCTGGTGTCCAAAGCAGATCCCGGATGAGGTGAGCCTCCAGCTCCCGCCCACCCTCGCTGCTGGGCGGAGGGCCGGGCCTCCTGGACGTCTGGGCCTCCTGCCCTGGCTGGTGCTGCGCCTGGCAGTGGGCTGCCACCGGGGGCAGCGGGAGGGGCGCTCTGTATCGACCCCAGGGACCTCCACCTGCCCAGCCCAGCTCCGAGGCAGGCCCCACGGCCCAGGCCTGCTTTCCTGGCTTTGTCCCTGTGCTGGCGGGGCAGGAACTTCCTGCTGGAGAATTCCCGGATCCTCCCTGTGAGGCCGCAAGGCCGGCCTGGGAACTGGGGCGGGAGGGACGTCAGGGACGTGCAGACTGGGCAGGCCTGGGCCAGGGTCCTTCCCACCCCTGCCAGGTGCACAGACCTCCTGCCCAGACACCCAGACACGCGCTGCACCTGCCCCCGGAGCCCAGGGCGCTGCGGCCCGCAGGCACAGACTGGGGACTAGACTGACCCCCCCACCAGCCCCCCCTGACGGCTGAGCTGGCTCCAGTGCCGGTGAGCAGCAGGGTCCACAGTCAACCAAGCGGGCCGGAGTCAAACTGGGCTTTATTCATAGCCTCCCAGCCCACGTCCGTCTGTGGGACAGCCTGCTGGCAGCCGCCCTGCAGACCATGGGCACCGTTTATCCCGGGACCCGGCCCCAAGCTCCTGGGCTGTTTCCGAAGGAGGGGGGCTGCCTCCCTGTGCAGGTCCGTCCGGGCCGGTGGGGCAGACTCGCCGGCACCCCTCACTCCCTCGGAGGCAAGTGTGGAGGCCAGTTTCCCAGGGCATCCATCTCCTGGAGCAGCAGGCCCTGGGGGCAGAGCGGGCGGGAGGAAGAGGCCTCAGCATCTAGGCTCCCCTCTCCCTCCAACTCCAGGGGAGGGGGTTGTTCCTTCAAAACCCCAGGAGTCCAGCACCCAGCCGGCCCTCCTGTCCTCACCTCTGTGGTGGACACCACACCAAGGGGGCTCCGCACCCTTCCCTCAGCCGCCTCAGCACCCCTCTCCTGGGGCCCCAGCACTCCCCAAAGGTTGGGGGCAGCTCCCCTTCCCCCCGCGCCCCCCCACTTGGTGTCCCTGAGGGATGAGAAGGGCGTGGGGTGGTGATGGGGACAGACCTCTGAACACCCACGAGAGGAAGCTATCCGGAGGCAGCTGTGTCCCCAGAGTGAAGGCTGAGCTGGGCCCCCACTTGCCACGCCCCCCAGATACTCCCAGGCCCCTCCAATGCTGCTCAGGCCACCCCAGGACTGTGAGCCCTGGGCAGGGGCAGGCAGGCTCAGGGGTGGTCCTGGGGGGTGGGGGAGGAGGAAGAGGAAAAAGGCAAAGGCGAGGGGCCCTGCCAAGCTGACCTGCCGTCTAGGGTGGGTTGGGAGTGGTTGCTCAGCCCTGCCCCCAGAGCTCAGAGGGGTGCCTGTGAGGCACCACAGCCGCAGGACAATGAGAAGGCTGCCCTGGGCGCCTGCAGGCCTGTGCTCCTGTAGCCAGAGCCCTAACCCTGAGGGCCCTGTGCAGGTGACACGTACACTCTACATCGCCAACAGCCCCCTCACGGGCAGAGGCCTGGAGACCCGCCTCCCAGCCCACTGCTCGCTCTTCCTTCCTTCCTTTTTTTCAATTGATTTTTATTTATTTTTTATTTTTAAAATATATTTTAGGCCGACACTCCATCCACTGAGCCAAACCGGTTTCGGCTCAATTGATTTTTAGACAGATAGGAGAGGAGAGAGGGGGGCAGTCAATTTGTTTTTCCACTCATTGATGCATCCATTGGTTGATTCTTGTAGGTGCCCTGACCGGGGATTGAACTCGAAACCTTGTTTTATCAGGAGGATGTGCTAACCAGCTGAGCTGCCCGGCCAGGGCCCAACCCTCTGCTCTTTCCTTTGGTAAACCACACAGACAGGGGCATGTGTCCACTGAGTGGAAGGATGAGCTGATGAATGAATAGAAATTAAGCAGAAATGACCCCAACTCATCTTTCCACAGCAGAGCCATCAATGCGCCCCAGGCCGAATGCTTAGGCTGATGTCCAGGGAGGGCAGCGGTGGTCTGTGGTGTGACCAGCGGAGTCACTGTCCGCACCTGTGTGTGTTTGTGGGGTCAGGCATGTGCAGGGAGAGAAATAGAAAATGAGCAACAGCCTGTGAGTGACAGATGTGCTAAAAGCTTAGAGCCACTAGACAAGTCCCTCGTGTTCAGATAAGGAAACTGAGGCTCACAGAGGGAAAAGGACCTGCCCAAGGCCACAAGCAAGTGGATGGCAAACTTAAGCCTCAAGAGTGGACATTTGGTCCTGGCCGGTTTGGCTCAGCGGACAGAGCGTCGGCCTGTGAACTGAAGGGTCCCAGGTTCGATTCCGGCCAGGGCACCTGCAGGTTAGCCCTGTGCAGTCCCTGGTCACCCTAGCCATAGCCCAGCCTGTGTGGCTCAGTGGTTGAGCACCAACCCAGAAACCAAGAGGTCATGGTTTGGTTCCCCATCAGGGCATATGCCCACTTTCTTCATCCACTCCCCAGTAGGGGGTGTGCAGGAGGCAGCCAATTGGTGATTCTCTCTCATCATGGATGTTTCTTTCCCTCTCTCTGAAATCAATAAAAATATAATAATTTAAAAAAGTGGAGATTTGGACTCTGGGTCAAATGAGAGACAAGAGAGACTGGTGGGGAAGTGTGTGTGTGCAGGGGTCAGGGTCGGACTCTCAGAAACACCACCAAGAAGGGATCATGCCCCCTCCCACCCAGGCAGTGGGGGGCTGGAGCCTGGGCCAGGGCCATGGGAGGCCTCCCATCCGCTTTCGCCAGTGTCCTCGGGCAGTGTGGCATACCTGGTCACCCAGAATGCTCTCCAGGGTGATCTCTGACGGGACCAGTGGCTCCAGGCCCTCAAGGCTGCGCATCTTCCGGAGGCGGAGGCGGGACTCCTGCTGTGCTTCCAGAAACTTCTTTAACTCTGACTCCACGAAACCTGAGAGCCAGAGAGATGGGCAAGGGACAGGCAGGAGTGGGCTGGAGCAAACTGCTGGAGTCCAAAGGAAGAGGCGGCTCTGGCGGCCATCCTGGCCCCACGCAGTCCCCGGTCACCCAGCCATAGCGCTTTCCTCACCCACTCCCCGGAGCCAGCCGGACACCGCCTCCCCAAGAAACTCGCTTCCATGGGCTCCCTCCGGCAAGCATGAGTGTGAGTCTGCTCACCTCCTGGGAGACCATGCGAGGGCACACATCTACTCCCCTCCAGCCACCAACACAAGAGCATGGATCTGGAACCATCCCAACTACCTGGGCTCAAGTCCCAGCCCTGCCACTTCCAGCTCTGTGATCTTGGGTGCGTTACTTAACCTCTCTGTGCCTAGCTTCTCCGCCGTGAAGTGGCGAGTACAAGACCTACCTCAGAATCCAATACATTGTTTTGTGAAAAGCGCTTAGAAGAGGAGATGGCCCATAGAAATGATTATGTAAAGGTTAGCAATGACTTTGTATTATCACCTGCCCCCTCTCTCATCTGCCCTCAGGGGCACCCTCTGGGGCCCTGTCACAGCAGTGCCCACCTGATGGGAAAACCAGAGCTGGAGGTGGCCACTGAACGGAATTCCGGGAGGGGAGGGCTGGTGCCGGGGAGCCCCAGCCCGGTCACAACCTTCACCTCGCGGTCTGCACACCCCAAGGGAGGAGGACTCTACCTAGAGGAGCGAGCTCCCGCCCAGCCACTCTCTGGCCAACTTCCCGGGTGGCCATCTTAGGTCCTATGACACCACCTGGTGGTCAGAGCTGGCATCGCACCCATGAGCCCATAGAAAACGGGACTGCCTGGGGCGTGTGGGGAGGGGAGGTGGGGCACCCCACTTACCCACTGTTTCGATTGGCCTAAATGTCTTATGCAGTGGCGACTGGAGGGGGACCGGGACGCAGAGCTTGAATGAGCTGTCCTCTTCCTCCATTTCCTCTTCCTCCCCTTCCTCCTCGTCGGTTAAGTCTTCCTCGAGAGGCAGCTGAGGGTGTTTCGGGTCACTGAGCAGGTGAGAAGGGCCCCAGCCCGCAGCCCCACCTCCACATGAAACAGGAAGCAGCCGGAGCAGCTCCGGGAGGTGAAGGCAGGACTGCTCCCACTCCTGGGCCCCACCCGGCCTCCCCCGGGCGGCCCCAGCTCGGCCCCACAGACCTTGGCCATGGCCAGTTTCTGAAACTGCTTGTACAAGGTGAGGATGTGGTTCCAGGGAGTGGCCCCCACCTTCAGAGAAGCCGGCCTGAGGTCTCCTGTGAAGGCAGCCACCCGACCGTCAGCTGGGTCAGCTGGCAACGGGGGTGGGCTCGGCCCAGCGGGGCAGGGACAGCTGGAGGTTGGGCTGCGGGGAGGCCGCCTGGTTTTCCTTAGCAAACACCTGCTATGTCCAGGCACAGTTCTGGGCACTTTACAAGGACATTTCATTTCATTCTTGCAACTACCTTCTGAGGCAGGAACTATCGCACTCTCATTTTATAGAGGAAACGGGCACACAGAAAGGCCGAGCAGTCTGCTGCCATCACACAGCTTGGCACAGTGGAGTTGGGACCCCAGGCAGCCTGCCTCCAGCCTTCCCTTAGGCTGGGTCCTTCCCGGCCCAGCCCCAGTCCTGGAAAAAGAGGGCTGTTCCTGGCCCCGCCCCATCCCTGGCCCCGCCCCATCCCTGGCCCCGCC